GTTATTTTCATTTTCTTCTACTTCTTCGTCGAGCTGCTTCTGTGTGTGTCCTTTAATAATTAAATAATCGCGACTAAACTCGTGTGCCTCTCCGATCACGTGTAGAATCGGAAACGCGGACGACGACCAGCGAGTTCGACGATTCGTTGTTAAACAAAAGACTTAACAACGCCCGCAGGAAGAACTCGTTTCGTCGTGTCGAATTTATTTTGTCTTCTTTATTCTTCTTCTTCTTCTTTTTCTTATAATCTCGGCACCTTGCACTTCTGCACGGTGGTCCCAATTTGTTTTAATCATCGCGATCGTACTCTTTGTTTTTTGTTTATTGCAAACGTTAGACGTCGGTGCACGCTATCCTTCATCTTTACGCTGTACAATTACCCGGCTGTACCGCAACGTTTCGTCAGGGAAGAGACGAAAGAAGAAGTCTCAAATCGAAATATCACGAAGCCTCTCTCTCTCTTTCGGTGATCCAACTCGAGAAAAATTGCACGCGATTTAACATTTTCATCGGATCGAACGAAACAACGCTTTTTTCAACGATACATTATTACACCGAATCTTCAGATTTCGTCGCGAACGATTTCTCGCGAGCTCTTTTTCACGCGTCTCTTCCCTGCGCTGTTTCTTCTATTTTTTTTTCTTTTTTCTTATTTTCTTCTGTGGTCACTGGCTCTCCGCAGTTTTCCGTATTCATATTTTCTTCTTCTTTTCTTTACAAAAAACCGCTTTTCAACTTATTCAGCCTATTAATATTTTCTTCTCGTTCACTCGTTCGCGCATTCACACCGTGGACCATTATCATCCCCTTTCCGCGGACTACTCTCCGTCTATCGACCTATCTACGCGTCTAACTACTTATAATCTGCTGTGTTACTATACAGTTTTTCTGTGAATAGGTATTTAAAAGTACGCGTACCACATAGAGACCGTTAATAGGTTCGATATGAGTTACTCGTCTCAGATACGAGGAATTTACTTTGTAAAATAAGTACAATAATATAATCTTCGAATAGGCGGTGATAAATAGTTAACGACGAAATAACAATATTGCTCGATCCCGTAATATATAATGTTTATAATAATATAACGATATTATCCACTTGTGAATAAAAGTGGCCTCTTTTCTCACACACAAAACTCTCTCCCTCTCTCTCTCTCTCTCTCTCTCTCTCTCTTTCTCTCTCTTTTCACTAAAGGTCTACATAAGAAGGGGGCTCTGCGCTCTCGTTCCGTACATAGAGTAAATAATTACGATAGGCCTAACGATCTCGAATAACAATCATCATTATCATCAGTGTCACACCACACTAGCTCTCTGTAATCTCTTTCTCTCCCTCCCTCTCATTCATCCATTTGCTCTGTTCTATCGTTCGCAAAAAATTCTCTCTTATATCTTTCACTCCTCTTAGTACGTTCGTCCGGCGAAACGTTCAAAGATTTTTTTTTCTCTGCAAGCCATCAATCCTCTCTCTCTCTCTCACGTAACTTCATTGTTACATCAATGATAAAAGCAAACGAACAAGCGAAATCGAAAGGAGCTACGCGTAATATATTTTCTTCATCTCTTTCTCACTTTTGTGCTCAAACTTTTAACACGGCGCGCGACTCGAGGGCGGTATACCCGTTTACAATATTTATTTATGTATACAATATTGATATATATGTGTATATATATATATAGTTAACGTGTTAAATCGAGAAAAAAATTTATATATATATATGTACGTTAGTACGTGTATCGAAATCATCATACTTATCGACGATATATTAAATAGGGTTTACACACGTTTTATTTCTCTTCTCTAACTGTGGACTACATAAAAAAATCTGCGCTTCAATATCTGCTTATTACTCTCTTCTCTTTTATCTCTCATTCTCTCTCTCTCTCGCTCTTTCTTTGCTACGGACTAATTTTCATACTATTGTTGGGGGGAGGGAGGGGATCAACGTCAGCGCTGACAGCATTTCTGCTCTCTTCTGTTTCTATGCGTTCTCTTAAAAGCTAAAGAGGTAAGTGTAAAGACGCGAATACTGTTAAGGCTGACAGCTGTTTCCGGGAAACAACCTTTTCTTTGTCTGCGGTGTTGTGGTCAGTATCCACGGTAACCACGTCGTTTCTTTTATTCTTTCTGTTCTCTCTCTCTCTCTTTTCTTCATTCTTTCTTCCTTTCTTTAACATTATAAATCATCCGTTGTTTCTACGTGCTCGCATGTTTGGAGAAAAGCAACAGTAAGGCTGACCCCGTGGCTTCGATCGTGGAAACGCGGTTGTATCGCGTGCAACAACTGGATTATTATACCGGATTTACAAAGATCAAGATGAAAGATACGAGATAAAAAAGCGGTCGACGTGGATACTCGCAGACCGTGAAATGGAAAACCGAAACGGGGATCCCTTGTTACAATGGATTTACATATATTCGTTCGTTCTTACGTTCGTATAATACAAAGTAGAGATACTTCGCTTTCGTGTAAATACAATAATGTACAATCTTCGTTTACTCTTCTATAGTATCATCTCTTATTCTCCCTCTCGCACACGTCATACTCTTTCGTTTCTCTTTTGTTTTACTTTTGGAGTTAAACCTTACTGTGACGACCCCGACGACGCCATTGAGCTTGCGCGGGGCCGCAAAAAACGGATCGATCTACGCTCTACGGTGAGTCGAGAGATAAAACGATGAACAAAATTCTATCTACACATATAACAACTTCTTCCATTCTCTCTATTCCTCCATCTATTATTCTCATTTTTCACGCGACGGAGACACTTTCTCCCACGTTTCGTTGCTTTTCTTCACATTTATCTAATCCTTCTTCTGCTCGTCTCCGCCTCCTTCCTTAAACTTCCACCTTCCCCCAATATATCCTTCTCTAGAACAATTCTCATCGTACAATTCTCCACGCAAAGTGGAAACAACGCTCTCCTATTCTTCTACAATCTTCCTCTAACTCGCTGTCGCGCTAAGCGTCCTCCTCCGCTTCACCTCGTCCCCCGTATCGTCATCGTCACCCCCTTCCGGCTTTCCTCGAGTTTTCTCTCTCTCTTTCTCTCTCTTTCTCGGGAAGCGAGGTACATATTGTTGTTATTTCGTTGGTTGCACGGTATTCGACGTGGAGCGTGTCGTGGAACGCGTGGAGAAAAAGGTTAAGCGGATAACAATGTACGCTCGATCATATTACACAAGGAATTTCCTATCCCTAGAACATCTGGCCTCTCCCTCCTCGATCCATTCCGATATTATAGATATACGGTCCAAGAATATGTATACACGATCCTCGTACGTACATGTATTATTCTCGAGGCTGCTCCTCGCTACGACCTACTATAGCTGCTTTGAAATCGCCGTGTGCTCCAACAAAACGCACACACACGCGCGCCTCTCTGCGTCTACCTATCGTATCGATCTACTGTACATGGATATTTTTGGTCGTAACGCTAATTGTGATAACAAATTACACGGTATGTATTACCAACTGGGGCCCGCTGTGCGTATGTATATCGTTCACGCGTGCACTCCCACACGCTGTGAGATCTACACTACACTCTCTTTCTCTGTTTTTTTTCTTTTTCTGTACCTTGTGTATCTTATGTGTATGCGTGTGTGTGTGTGTGTTTGCTTGGAATAAATGCTTTTTGTATACCTGTATCTTTCGTGTCTGTACATAGAGAGATGGTGGTGTGTACATAAGATGAATTTTTCAATGTATGTATGTATAACGATGCAGAGAACTACAGCGTGTGTGTGCTCCCGTACAATTGATGTTGCTTTTCCTGTGTATATATATATGCTTCTGTTCTCGTTAGCTGTGGGTAATCTTTAACCCTTAAACAGGCGCACGATACTCGAGACGCGTATCGTTTCTCACTAAAAGGTTCTACGCTCTTTTTTTAATCATCTCTTTGTGTGTTTTAAATTTTACTCTGCTTAATTTTACAAACTTCTCTTTTAGATAAATCGTTAAAAGTGTAAACGCTACATCACAAGAGGAAGAACTTGGATAAACGTGCAATTAAGACGAAGAATTCATTAACTCTTATCGTTTGTTCTATATCTCTCTTTCTTTCTCGCTCGCTCGCTCTCTCTTTCTCTCGTTACCTTTCTTTCTTTCTTTCTTTCTTTCTTTCTTTCTTACTTATTTGTTCGAACATTTGCTCGTCTTTTTAAAAAACTCTACCGATTTCGCTGTGAATTGACTCGACGTCTTCGTTACGTGTAAATATTAATACTCGTTAATAAACTAACTTTTTTTTACTTTTTTTTTGTCTCTCTCTCTCTCTGTTCTAATTTTTTTTTCTCTGCTTACAGATATACTTCTAGGTTCATAGACGAAAAGTTTTTTTTTTGCCCTCTTAAGGGTTAAAGATGGTGTTCGTAATGTACGTTCGAGCGGACTCGTCGACGAAACCGCTCGAACGTAGCTAAACCGTTAAGACAAAACCAAGGAGGAAGAAAACAAAGTAAACCCGTGAGAATAGAACTAAGTACGATCAAAGTCTAGCAATGGACGAAATGTAGAGAATAATAGAGAAAACGTACGAGCGATGTATATATATACATATAATATATTCAAATAGAATTTATCATTGTTCACGTTCCATGAAAATAAAAAGCACATACGCAACAGTATATAATAGAACGATACAATTTATTTCCCAGAACGCAATACTTCTCTTTCGTGGCGTTCAACAACCATAACATTATACTAGTACAATCGACGAGAAACTATCAAATAAAAACGCCCACGAAAGATTATAGCTTCGTACACGATCGGTACACGTGTGATTAGTACTTCGTTTCTTTTTTTCTCTTTTCATCGTCTATCTACGCGAAAATTAACTAACTAAAGAACTGATTACAGAACGAAATAATAATAATAATAATAAGTAAACGTTAACAAACGTAGGACGGAAAAAGAATGAAGTACAAGAAAAGAAGAACCGTGCCATTCGTTTCTTTTGATTTACCTATTCAATGAATAATTCGATCGTCGTCCTTTTGCCAAATGGTCTACGATCTCTTCAGATGTATATATATATATACATGTATAAATAAATCGTAATAAATATATTGCAGATACTTGAGCGCGAATAAATTGAGAATAAACGATCGTGTGTATTGTAATCTGAGTGGTGGTGGTGGTGCTGGTTTTATTGTAGACACTGATGGTAGTGGTGTTGTGGTTGTTTTTATTGTTGTTGTAATTGTTGTAACTGTTGTTGGTGGTGGTTGTGATAGTGGTGATGGTAGTATTTGGTGCTATTGGTGGCCGACGGGGTGCAGGTGGTCGAGAGTGGCCTTACTTGAGTAGCTGATGGGCTCGCTCGTTGGCCACCTTTATCCTCGTCTCGTTCGAATCGCCCTGCGTGCCAAAAAAACAGACAAACGAAAGATCGTAACCCAAAACTCAGGCGTGTATAATCGAAAGAGATCACATCGCATGTTATTGTCGAGATAGACCTCTCGCATATATTAATTTTTCACTTCGATTCAAATAATGCGCAACAAAATTTCATCGCTTGTCGTTCGTCGTCGTCGTAATCATCGTTGACTCGTACTACTTTCCTATTCAGACTCTCCTTTCTTCTCCTCTCTCGTTCACCTATTCTCCTCCACTCGCGCCCGCTCGCTCGCTCGCTTGCTCGTTTCCAAGTGTATTCCCGATGGAATCTCGTCCGGGATGAATTAATGGAATTTTTGCAAGGAGCTCGGCGGTAACGAGAAGCTGAATCGAATATTCAATTGGAAGGGTATATAACGAGGAAGAAACAGAGAAGTTGCGAATACAAAGAATCAATAGCGACAACGACGACCACGGCGACGACCCTGCGGGGTTTCATCCGACAAATAAGATTCGAAGGGGTTAAAGATGTTCAATATCAACGTCGCGTGTGTATATAAATGCACTGGTTGGGCCGGAAAAAATAGACTACCGAATTATCTTCTCTAACTATGGCGATAGGAGACAATTTTTATAAGTAATTTAGGTGCTTTCAAACTGACGAACCATAGATGGAAGAAACATGGAAAACAACGAAAGGAAGTTTCACGTTTGACTTAAAATTTTAAAATCCAAGGTCATTTTAAGATCACATTAAGTTTAAGATCACACAGCATACAGTAGAAAGAAAATATGCAAGTATTAGTGTAGAAATTAATTCTCTCCGACTGCATTCGCATATAACAGATCCAAATCCACCAAGTTTCGATCGCGATAGAATTCGCAAGCTGCCAGAAAAATGGCAGGATGTCATTAACAATAATGCAGTTTTCTAAATAAACCTTCGATTGTACCCTAAAATCAGAAAAAATTAATTTCTACACCACGTAAAAAAGCATACAAGTAACCTTGAAAAATCACAGAAAAAAATTTGTCCTCCGTCTGATTCACCCTTTGAAACCATTCAAATTGCATAAATTACATAACACGTAAATAAAAATTGTCTCCTACCATCATAATTAAACAAAGAGGCGATTAAACTGCCTGTTTCACACGGCCCATCCTGTACAACGTACATGTACGTAACTATAGCGTATGTTCCGTGTGTATCATGTATAACTATATCTGTGAAGAGACTAGCGTAGAAACGAACTGGACACGAGACAACAACAAACGGCAAGAAACATGACGCGGTTATACAAAGAAGAGAGGTGGTGGGGGGAGTTACAACAAACTAAACGACGTATATAAAAAGGAGGCTGCACTAAGTACACGATACGTAAAAGACCACACGTAATAATAACGATAATAACAATGACAATAATGATGATGGTAGATAAGAATAATAATGAAAGGCAATAATCGGAATAATAATAAGTGTCGATGTATAAACCGGAAGGCTCGATGATTAGTTTTCGTTGTAGCACAAACAGGTGGATCGAGTTGGAGACACGAGTTGGGTTGACGGGTTGTGGCGGTGTCCGACCGACGACGAGAAGGCAGAAGAAGGGGTCGTGGGCGTGTGAGCGTACAATAT